ACTAATTGTGTTCCATGTAATCTAATTAATACTAATCAATAATTATGTTTACTTATTGCCACCAAAACAATTTATAAGATTTAGGGTTCGCTAACCAAAAGAATTACTTAATGTGCAGGTTGTCATTCCCAACCTTGAGGAGTTAGAACTAAGGTCAATAGAAATTAAAATGATATGGCACATCTCTACAACGGCTCACTGCATTATGAACCTCATTGAACTTACCATTGAAGGCTGTGATAACTTAGAGCTGTTATTCTCATACTCTATGGCTAGAGGCTTGAAGAAGCTTAGGCGCCTCAAAATAAAGAATTGCAAGAATATAAGAGAGATCATTGCCACAGAGAATGTAGAAGACATGGAGAATTCAATTTCTTTTCCTAAGCTAACATTCCTAGAGTTAAAAGACCTTCAAAATCTTGTCAAATTCTACTCAAGAAATTGTATGATTGAATTCCCATCCGAGATGCAATTGGCTATAGAGAACTGCTCAAAATTGGAGGTACCCATTGTTACAAGTACAAGCATGGATGCCATTGCTGATTGAAGCCCCCTTTCCACTAAACAGGTGCTTTTTCTTTGTTTGACTTGCCTTTTCTTTGTTTGACTTGCCTTTTCTTTGTTTGACTTGCCTTTCTAAACTTTAAAACAAATTATCCTCACAATTCTGGTCCTAATAGCGTGATGAAATATGTATATTGCATTTCCTAGCTTGGAAATGATAACCACCTCCCACTTGCAGACCTTGTTGCAAGACTCCCTTAAATCATCTTAATTCAACCTAATCAATTTTTTGTAGCTAGGTTTCCCTTTTCTAAGATGTGTGTACGAGTTATGATTACAAGTGAAATGCATGTTATTACTCAAAAATTAAGAGAATAGTTTACAAAGTTAATACCCACCATATTTAAGTTATGTTTCTTTGTTATATGCTTGATTTGTTATTTTTCCTGCTCCATAGTATGAACATAAATTCAAATTCTACCACTTTGTTTTTCCCATTTTTAGACTTATAGCTACTCCTAGCCCATTTCAAATCATCATCTAAATGGATACTACCAAATGAACATATTTAAATATGTTGCAAGATTTGT